GTTTGTTACAAGGATAGGTTCCTGGGTTAGTGCTTTTGTTCAGTGATGTGTGGTTGCTGGTGAGTCTCTAAGGTGCCACAAGTACTCCTGTTCTTCTTTTTGCGGATACAGACTAACACGGCTGCTACTCTGAAACCTTACTAATTTTAGCTACTGAAGCAGCAAAGCAATTCTCCAGTATGTTAATAAAATAATGTAAATGTTTAAATGTATCCCTTTAGTCTTTATTTTGGTTTTAACAGAATAAAGTGTTGAAAAAGAAAATTGCAGCAGAAAGCAAGCAATCCAGTATTTATGAAGGGAAGGTAGGTGTATACTAAATATTTCTTGTAAAAGTGAAAGACAAGTAGTTAAAGAGCATGAGTCTGTCCTTCAGTCCCACTGAAGTCAATAAGATTACTTATGTGTTTAAAAATTAAGCAAATTTAATTGTTTTGCTGGATTGGGGCCAAAATGTTCAGCATCTTGTTGTATCAATCTATGATATATTGGAGACTGTCAGCTCCCTGTTGAAATCATTAGGAATTGAAGTTTCTCAGAATCTTACAGGAGATGCTCTGCACCTTACTGAATCAAACCTTTAATAAGAAATTTGTGAAATTGTATCCACTGTTTCTAGGACAAGATTTCAAGGGTAGTCAGACTTCTAGTGCTGCAAGCACCCATGCACGTATTATCTTTTTGGATCAGTTAATACTTTGAATTAGAAGTTGGCCCGGCTTGCAATATTCAGATATAGCATTCCAGTACTACAATATCTGTGACCATATAAGAACCTTTATGGATAGATAAGCACATTTTTATTTAGATTTTAGTCTGGCTCATTGCAGAGATACAGGTCAGCAACAAAATTCAAATCCAAATAGGAGTTTGGGAGTTCAGAATCTCTCTTTACTTTTAATTTGGTCAGTTTCAGTTTTCCTGAAAAATAAAGTTATGCAGGGCTTGCTTCTGTATCATTCAGATCAAGGAAATTGTCCCATTGACTTGACTAGGAGCAGGGTTAAACCACAAATGATTTGTTCATAAATGAACATTTTCTGTGTGCATTGTAGTTGGTCAGGTCAGCCAGACCTGAAGAGGAACTCTATGTAGCTCAAAAGCTTGTCTCTTTCACCAGCAGAAGTTGGTCCAATAAAAGATGTTACCTCCCCCACCTTATCTCTCTAATATCTGGGACCAACATGGCTACAACAACAATTTTAAAAATACATTTACATACTTTGACAGCAATATAACATTATTTGTGCTTTACTAAAATGAACAAAATAATATAAATGGTTTGTTTCTCCTTCTGAACTTCTTTTCTCTAGCATCTACTGAAAGTAGCACAAGACATTTCTCTCTAGCCTAATTATTCATATGCATATTAACTGGTTATATGTAATTTATGTGATAATTTATTTTTGTCATAATATATGAGCTTTTGTTTAAATATTCTAAGTACTTAATTTTGAATAAACTAATTTTACTAGGGTGCACCCTTTTAATTCATGTCATGGTTTCACTGAAGTCAGTTCCCAGTCAAACATGCATATTGTTGGCCTCTTCCAGGCATCTTGCCAGCAAAATCAGCAGTTCAAAAGAATGTTTTAACAAGTACAGTTCCTTTCATAGAAGTTTTTATTAATAATAATAAAAACTTACTAAGACTAATGGGCCAGGAAAATTCCCTGTTCTTCAATCAATTCTATTATAAATGGAAATTATAAAAAAACCACAGGACTAGTTCATTGACTGTGGACGAAGACTACACAGTACTGCTTAGGATGAGGATTGCAAAGGTGGCATGGGAGTCTAACTGTTGCAGAGCCCTGCTTTGCATAGCTAATCCCCTCCCCCCCAAGAACAGGAAGAGTACAAGAATGGAAGATTATTCTGTGGCTGCACAGCTCTAGGAGGAAGTCATACTGCCAGTGGATGAGTGTCCAGGGAATAGCAAGCATGGTCTTATTTCCTTGTGAATTTTAGGACATCATGTACACTTTGGGGGGCCCTGTCCTCTCAAGTAATCAGAAACCTCGCCCTCTGTAGGGGATGATGTCTTGGAGACAGTATTAGTTGAAACTCATTAAGTTCCACTTTTCCTTTTTCATATGTTTTTCAATTGGAGGGGGTGATTTAATTGAAATTGTTGTTGCTATTTTCCCAGTAATTAGGAAAAAATGTGAAAGGCCATAGCTCAGATCCTTGTTTAAAAAAATTTGAATCTTGAATAGAAGGTAAACTGTCCCAGTACAGAAGCTGATCCAATAAAAGATATTACCTCACTCATGTTGTATCTCCAGTACAGGATAGGTAATAACCGCTTAAATGAATCAACATATATTAAAATTTACTCCTGAATGGTTAATTAAATGATTTTGTCTTGTTAAAAGGTGAATACATTACAACTAGAGCTCGAAAATGTAAATAGGCAACATAAGGAAACAATTGACAGCTACCAAAAAGAAATCGAGGCAAAAAACATAACAGAAGAAAAACTTCTTGAAAAGGTAAGAATTACTAAAATTTACTGTTTCTTTGGATTCATTTGAGTAATTTGATAATTTATCCAATGTTTAATGTGTTTTGTAAAGTTATTTAGGGCTGATCCTGAACTCCCTCCACATATTATTGTCCTGTGGACACCCGTAACCATATGGGGAAGCTGTCTATATACAATTTATGACTTCTGTGTGAGATCATGAATTGTATGTGTAACTCCAACCCTCAATTTGTAGTAAGTCAGTCAAGGGCTGGGAGAAGTTACAGATCAAACAAATTAAGTCATTAATGTGAATGAATCCCATTCAAATGGGACCATTTTTTGGACAATGTGATGGCTGAAGCCTTGGAGAAACAGTTTTCTCTAACTCCTCTGCAAGGGGGTTTGAAAAGTGGAAAATTCCCAAAGAGCAAAACAAAGTACCAAGATGTTAGTGCTAGTTTTTAAAAACAAAGAATCTGGGAGGGTAGGGTCAGACAGATGAAGAAAGCCTGGTGCAGGAGAGAGGAACAAAGACACAGTGTTTTGGAAGGAGAGAGGACTTTCTTGACTTTGGGGGACCAGCCAAGGTCAAAGGAAACCAGCATGAGGAAAGAGAGAGCGACTCTATGATTTGGAGGAGAAACTATGGGCAGCAGGAGGGGGCTCCTGGACACCCTAGAGGACTCTAACCAAATCCCAGAAAACACTGAGGAGGAAACTGAAACAGGTGAAGAAATTGAGACAGGGAATAGCATATAGATGTGTTTTATTTTGCATGATCTGAATTTCTTTTGTGCTAATATAAAAAGTAATTACTTTAGCAATCCCTTTTGCAAAGCCTGTCTGTGTTTGCTTCAACTATCATGAGTCCCTGAAGAGAAACTAAACCAGAGTGCCCACGAGGTTGGAGCTCTGAGAAGGTGTGTGAGTAAGCTACTGGGGAGCCTAGGGGTGCCAGTGCTAGTTTTCAGGGCCTAGGAAGTTGGACCATGGAGTCTCAGCTTGCCAGATAGTTGTTAGCAGTATATTTGTAGCCTGAAAGTGTGCCTAGAGACCCAGAGTAAGAGACAGGGAATGCATGGACTTTGTTCAGATTCAGGAAGCATAAGAGCACATGGATCCAGCGTGGTGAGACCCAAACACAGCACCTGGTGAATGTCTAGTAGGGGGAGTTAGGCCAGGGCCATGACAAAGTCAGTGGAACTGCTTGTGTGTGAACTACACATACTGGTGATTATAGGCTTTCAGCTTTGAGTTCTTAAGTGAAAATGTTCATATTTGGGTCTCTAAAGTTAGGCACCTAAATAAAAATTAGGATTTAGCGCGTCAGTTTAGGTATCCAAGTTTAAAAATGTAGGCCTTAGTTTGTTAAATTGCCTTTCAACTAATGTGCATTCTAGTACAGGAATTTTTAAAATAAAAAATGTTATTTTTAAAACTAATTGCACAGTAATTTTTTGTGCTAGAAAGTACCAGACTGAAATAAAATGAAAGTGGGAAAAAAACTATGATTTTAAAGTATCTGTTTTACAAATTTTTGCAGGGCAGCCAGGCATTTTTTAGTCTTCAGTACTGTAGATTATAATATCACAAAGAAGGAAATACTCCAAATCAATTGGTTCATTCCATCCATATTACTGTAATTGTTAGAATAACTTCAAAATGTATCTTGTGTGTTTCATTAAATGAATAGCTGTGGTTTCATATTTGATAAAATATAAAAATGGTCAGACAAGTCCATTGTGGAAAAAGCATTTCTTTTAATGTATATATAGTATTTTAACTTTTTATATATTTTTAGCTTTATTTTTTGTTACTTGATGCCACAAAATTTTGCCTGTCTTACAGTTAAAGATAAACTGCAACAGTGCAAGCACTGCAAGTTAGCCATATAAAGAACAAAGTGGCTTTTGAGCTAATGGACTGTCATAAAAACTAAACTATATGTAGCGTTGGGGGTTTCATTAAAATATTGCATTCAATGCTGCTCACAAATTAGAAGAAAATACTGTGTTATTAACAGGTGGAAAAGATGAGGTTAATAGCTGATGAAGCAGTAATACTGCAGAAAGAAATTGATATTCGATGTCAGCACAAGATAGCTGAAATGGTAGCACTTATGGAAAAACACAAGGTAAAATTATTTTGCTAGTTGTATATGTACAATACATGACATTATGTCTGGAATCAGTAAAATTGCACAAACCACAAGTATTAGGAACTAGGAAATGGAGCTTTATTATAAGGACATTGATCTAGGAAAATTAAGCTGGAGATATGATCAGTTTCTTAACATCTAACAAGAAATGCATCAATGACAGGAGGCATTTCTTCACTATCTTAACTCCTAAATATGTAGATAAGCAGAAATTATACTACTACTTGTAACAAAAGTATTTGGCAATCCCTAATAATGTAATGCTAGTTGTGGCAGAGATGCAGCTCTCCTAGAGCTGCTTTGGGGGTTACAAATATTGAGGTATTATATTTGCATACATTTTTATGGAAGAAGGGAAATACGGACCTTAATGATCATTTAGAATTTTGAATATTCCCCTGTCTGTTCTGTGGGAAGGATACTGAAAGGATTTTCTGGCATTTCAGATTCCTTTTGGTCCCATTCTCCCACCCCAGGTTTTCTTTCAGTGTTAATTCGGACCCATTCTTGTAAGGCCTCTAACTTCTCAGTGGCCCTAGGTAGTTCAGTTTAACATATTTTAGTGAAGCGCTCTTTTTAAATGGATATGTTCATAAATGTTACTTGCTTCAGTATAACCAGCCTTTACACACAGGTACATTTGATTCCCCACAAAGGACATAAAATGCTTTTAAATGGCCTCACAGAATATTATTGCATAGAGAAAAAGTGTGAGTATCATCTGTGGAAAGAGTTAAGATATGTATCATTGAAGCTTCAAACTAGTTTTGTGTCTAAAAAAGTTAGTAATCTTTTGTAACTTCTGAATAAAGAATGAATGCTAGCTGGTTTTAAGTGATAATTTTTATTTATCGCACTTATGCACATGACTCTTTGTCTGCAGCATCAATATGATAAAATGGTTGAAGAAAAAGATACAGAATTAGAACTCTGTAAGATGAAAGAACAAGAACAAATGTCAGTAAAAAGATCCTTGGTAAGAGCTAAACCTTAATAGTGAATAACTATGAGAAAATTAAAAGAAACTGCTGCAGATGAGTGACATAACTAGATAACAATTTTTCCTTTTTTACTGTTTATTTTTTCTCTGTTTTAGATGTGTACTTTATATTCTGGAACTGTACAATGAAGGCTAGACCCCCGATTTCTGTGTGCCATACTTGCTTATTATTGTTTTTATATGTGTTACAGTATAAAGTGTTTTAAATGAAATGTAAGCAAGTGTACTTTCCTGTCTACTTTTCTCCTGATGGCCTCTGAATGATTTCACCACTCTATCTGATTAAGGAACTTTTGTATCAAACAGTGTGCCATTTTTTTCCTGGTAATAATATGCCACAAATAACATGAGAAAAACTGCTTGACTTGAATAGTCCTGTCCAAATATTAATAGATACATTTCTCAATAGTTCTTGATCTGTTGAAAAAAATAAAAACAACCTCCTAGCCTATGACTGCATTAACTTTTCTGTGCCCCTCCTTTACCTGGCAAAACCCCACTTTGGGGAATGTTCTGAGAGCAGTCATCAAGTCATTGAGGAGTCTCTGACAGTGTAGCCTCAGCTCCTCAACCCCCTCAAACCCAGTGAGGGGATTCTCATGGAGATTTCCTTCTTACAGGACTTTTTCACACACATTTCCATGGGAAGGGGTTGATCCAAGTCTACAATTTAACTCATTCATGCTGAACATACCTGTTCCTTAGATAGGAAACTCCATTAATTCAAAACATCCAACTTAACCGTAGGCCTGTAAATGGCTTTGTGTTTGAAGGTACCCAGAGTTAATTTTTAGAATTAATTCTGTCATTAAAATAATGCAAAGTTGAACAGTATAGTAGTATATGACAGATGCATTTATTTGAGTTTTTAAAAACTATTTTCTTTTTCAGTTTAACAGAAAATTATTAACTCTTATCTGATTGTAATTTTTAGGAAATTGAGCTATCTCATGTGAAAAGTGAACTATTATCCCTTAAGGAGCAGCTTAAAATAGAGGTTGAAGAGAAGGTATGTCTTGTGGCATGACATTTAAAATTTTTTGGCTTAGCCTGTGGCTATATCATTTAGTACTATGGAGGAAATTTGGGTTGATTCCTCTCTCTCAGGACTTGTGTACACTAAAGAGCCTTTGTGAGTATAGATATTCTGGCAGAGCTATGCCAGCAAAGCCCCCTGGTGGAGACAGGATATGCTTGCAAAAGGAGTCCAGCTGGCATAGCACTCCCCCAAATAGCATTAACCATGCTGACAAAACCAACAAGGAGTCCAGTGGCACCTTAAAGACTAACAGATTTATTTTGGCCTAAGCTTTTGTGGGTAAAAAACCACTTTTTCAGATGGTTCTTCTTCTTTTACCCACAAAAGCTTAGGCCCAAATAAATATGTTAGTCGTTAAGGTGCCACCAGACTCCTCGTTGGTTTTGCGGATACAGACTAACATGGCTACCCCTCTGATACTATGCTGACAAAGCACTCTTCTGTCAGTATAGTTGTGTCTACACTGGGGGTTTTGCCACCATAGCTATGTCAGGTAGAGGGGTTCACTTTTTCATACTCCTAACCCACATAGCAATGCTGGCAAAACTTTGTAGTGTAGACTAAGCCTCACTCTGCTCTCAAGAGCTTGATGTGCTCTGAAGTCAGCATGCTTAGCTGAATTTAAGTCAAATTCCCATTGACCTACATGGGTCCAGGATTTCACCTTTGGCATCTGAAGTAATCCAGTTGCAACTCTACAGAAGTTTTCTATACAAGAGTACAGGCATATGAAAAATGAAATTATGTTTTGGACCCAGACATTTTAGCCTTTCCTTATCCAGATACAAACTGTTGGAGGAATGTTTGATGGTCTGAATCTTAGCATATGGATTGCTGAGCTTGTACCCTACCTTTTATTACAAGTTCAAGCACTCTAATGGAATTTGTTGCTAAATGACTCATTCTAGCACAAGACCAGAACTGGCCAGACAATATGCAACAAATAATCTCATGAATTTAGCTTCTTTTTTAGTTCATGAATTATCTAAAAACCGATTGCAATTTTTATTTATTTGCTCACTATTCACAGTTGTTCAGTAGATTACTTGTGCAAATAAATTCTCTATTCATGTTGTGTAATTGTCAATGGACTGTTTAATGGGTCTGTTTATGTGCCTAAGTGCTTGCAGATTCAAGCCCTTAGTGAATAAAAGGGATCACAAATATTTGACAGAAAATTCATGAATACATTTTTGCTGTATTTACCTGACTCTGAAGAGGACAAAACTCCCTATGTGGCAGAACTCCATAAAAGTAAATGAATGAGAAACAGTCTGAAATAAAAAAAATCTTACTGCATAAATCAAAAACAAACAGTAATGAAAACTGGGTATGTAGGGACAGTAAGAGATGTATCCTTTCCCATATATAATTAAGATAAGTTAGTTAATTCTTATTTCCACTTTTTTAATATCTACTGAAGTCTGAAATGTAATTAAACGCTGCTTGTATATTGTTGTGTGTGTTTATAACTGAATGCTGAACATGTGTACTACTCCATTATTGTACAGAAGATATAGTCAGCTAAAATATTTGCAAATAGAGCATTTACTGTATCTTACACTACTCTGTTTTTTAAACAGGAAAACCTTGCAAGAGAAGCAAAAGAAAATGCGGTTTCTGAAAAAGAAAAAAAGCATAAGGTGGCTTTTTACTTTGATTTTTATAAAATGTTATGATTTGTGTTAGCAGGCATGTATAATTAAACTAAGGTTTCATACTAACTGAAAACATTGGCAAGTTGGCATTTATTAATATGTTATTGATTTTTAATATATTTTCATTTATTATTATTTTTAGAAAATACAAACATCCTTTATGGAGACTCCTAAAACCAGTTTAAAGATTGCCTCTGCATCAGTTAATTCAAAAAATAATTCATCCCAGAATTTCACATCTTTTAGAGAGAACAAATTGGAAAACAAAGAAATGTCTTCTTGGACACCTACTAAAAGTGTCTTGGTCACTCCATCATTAAAGGTCTGTTGCTTATTGGATAGTATATTATTTCCATGTTTTTGTTTTTATTTATTTTTTAAAATGTACTTTTCATTTTATTTTAAGGGCCCATGCTGATCTAATTGTCTCCAGAGACACTTTTTCACTTTTGATTAAGGAAAGCATAGGTTAAAAAAATTTACAGTATTTTTCATGTGCGTATATTGGGGGATATTTAGGGAAGAACAAGTTTTTGAAAAGGGGAACAGGGCTCCAAGATTCTATTCCTTACTCCTGTTAGTTGTGTGATCATGGACAGGTCAGTTCACTCATCTCTGCCTCAGTCTACCCTTCAGTAAAATGGGGCTAGTAAAACCCATTTTACAGGGCTGTTGTGAGGCTTTATTTAATTATTGTCACAAGAGTTTTTTGACAATCTTGGTGGAAAAGTGCTGTGTGTCCTGCACTGCAGAAATGTTTCTAGTAAGTAGCAATAAATAAATAAATAAATAAATAGCATGGCTATAATAGCATTACAGTGTTCATGGCTGTTCTATCATAGCCATAAAATAGGCTCTTTTTAAAATGTGAAAAACTCACATACAATTTTTACAGCATTTAACTAATACAATTCAAATATGTAAATAACTAAGGTCAACTTTATGCTGAATACATCTATGAGAATTTAAAATCAGCAATAAAATGTACTATTTAGAAAAGAAATCTAAAACCCTTTTCTCCTCTTCTGATAAATTTATAATATATTAAATGTTACCATAATAATAATTAATAAATAATAAACATGAAGGAGAATAAAGTGGCTAAGATGGTAAGTGTTAGCGTACTGTCTTCTGTATAATTCTTTGTTAAATGTGTTAACTATGTATTCATATTGTATACAGTATGAGGTAAATCCAGACCCTTCTTCTGTGGTTATGGTGTAGTTCTGCAGTACAAAATGAGGAGCCCAGAGCCCCTCTCCTGCCCACCCCCAGCCTCCCCACCCCAGCCTCAGGTCGCCTGAGCGCTCCCAACCCCGGAGCATTGGGCAGATGGGAACTGTGGCCTCCAGCATCCCCAGTGCTGGCTGGCTGGTGGCACGACCCGGAGGGCCAGGCAGGCAGCATGGCTCCTAGCTCTCCCAACCCCAGAACGCTGGGGGCAAGCGGGCAGCACGGCCCCCAGCCCCAGAGTACCAGTCGAGCGGGCAGGCAGCACGGCCCCCAACCCCAGAGTGCCAGGCAGCGCATTCACAAAAGTAGTCCACCAGCCTCACTACCTAGATCTGGCCTATCTTGGTAGATACTTTCTAAAGCCAGTAATAACGGTTTCAGTCATTTTAAGACAACAGCCAAGGATCGCTGATGAGAAAGCCAGCAGGTTTTTCCAAGTTTTTTGAACTTCAGTCCTATTGTATCTTCTATTTGTTTCCAAGATGTTCAGTCCTTTTGGACTCTTGCTGAAAAAAGAGTATAACAAAGCCATTCAATTTATGGCTTTTTAATGTCTTTTGAAGATTCTGCAGCTTGTATTAGCGCTAGCTGCACTAGATGGCTTCTTCAGTGTTTATAGGAGAGATTAGGGTTACACTTTTCTCTGAGTAAAGCTTGTACTCCACTGTGTCTTCCAGAGAAGTTTGTAGGTCCATCAAATGCACAAGCAGCCATCTGTTTGGGGTCCAATTTACAAGCATTTAACTCTTCTAAGATGTCACAGATGCAGCTGATGTCTTCTATAACCTGAACATCTAGAATGCATCTACTGGCCTAGCATGGACATCAAGATAACATACGCAGCGACTTAATACTTGATGCCTATTTGCATTGGTGCATTCATCAGCCACGTATGCACATTTATTGAATATGGTGAGAGAGTTCTTCACTTTTTCAACTGCTGAGTCTTTCACTGTTGCAGCCCATGTTTCTAGACAGTCAGCTGAGTTTTTTGCAGAAAGATAGCGAGCATTTGCCAGTCTTATTCGGAACTAGTGTCCAACTTCACGGTTAATAAGTGACAATGCACTTAACATTGGCCTCCAGTTTGTAGTGTGTGGTATCTCTTGCTTAAATAGAAAGTATGATGCAACAGCCATGTTGGTTCACATAAACTGAGTTGTGTCTCCAACATTCTTAACAGCCTTATTAAGTACTTTTAAAACTGGGTTTGACAGTAACTGGCTCATAAGGCTTTCTGCATGTTGATGCGGTCCAGAGGCATGCTGTTTTGCAGCCTTTTCATGTAGGTTGTCAGTATTGGCTCTGCTGATCAGTCTGGCAAACCATGCTCCTCCACTTGTACTATATAAATCCATG